GACTTATAGTGACCAGAGAACATGTTTCTGGGGACAGTGAAGTCCAGCTCACCTGGGGAGGAGCGGGCAGGGAGAGAAGGAGGAGCTACAGTCCTGATGGGCAGACAGGAAGCAGGGGCTGGGGAAGCCACGTCCTCACCGTGCTTTTCCGCAGGAGCTGAGGTGGGAATCAGCACATCGCGAATCCATGCCCGGGGCCCAGTGGGACTTGAGGGACTGCTAACTACCAAGTGGCTGCTGCGAGGGCAGGACCACGTGGTCTCAGACTTCTCAGAGCACGGAAGCTTGAAGTATCTTCACGAGAACCTCCCTGTTCCTCAGAGAAATACCAACTGAGAGCACTCAGCGGAGAGCCAGGAGTGTTCCAAAAGGTCTTCACAGTTCAGCTCGCCTTGAGAATCTCTGGAGGAGCCATGTCTTGTCTCCCATTTCCTGGAAGGGTCTGCCGGTAGGAAAGTGCACCTCGACGCTCCTGGGCTGTGTGGCAGCGTCGGCCTGGGCTATGGCTTCGGTTCCCACTCACCCTATTCTTTTTTTTTTTTCCTATTCTTTTCTTTTCAAGTTAAAAAATAATTGCTGTGGATAGAGACTTTGCTTAATTGCTACAGATGGAGACTTTGCTTCACATAGTTCAGTTCTCTTCAGTGATAGAAACAGAAAGTTGCAGTTTCCCCACATAAAAGGCAACGGAGAAACCATGGCCGCTTTTTACTTTTTATCGCCTCAGTGAGGTAGTCTCCCTTGATGTTTGGTTGTGACAAGAGCCCATCGTACCGAATAAGTCTTTCCACATTTCATTTCTTTCACGCTCTTAGTCGCCTTTGAAAAGGAAAGGTTTGGAACTTCGAAGAGGGGCAGCTCTTCTTTTCAGCATTCTCTTCAGAAACGATCACAAAAATGGACTGAATCGTTTACACTGGGAAGATTGACCTTCTGTATTTATTTGTGGAGTAAATGCAAATAACATTTCAGTTGCTAACAGCTTCTCCAGATCCAGGAGTTTGGTACTCCCCGTGACGAGGTTGGAACCTGGAACTGTGGACAAGAGGTGCGAGTTTCAGGATGAAGTACCCACGGCCATTGTGCTTGAAATTTTTGTGTGAATTATTTCGTCATCCTATCCTTTCCCTGCAAAGCAAAGATTACAGGATTATTTTAATACTTTGGATTCTTCCCCTCTTTTTGAGAAATAAAGTTCTTAGGAAAAAGCCTGTGTGCATGAGTAAAGTTTTCTTCCTCCCTTGCTGTTACCCTCCTCCTTTTCCCTTTTTGTGGCCCTCACACCCCACTCTTAGGCAGTCTCTTCTCTGAAGTTGGCTGGGGAGGGAGGCTGTCTGCCTCCTGTGTCGGTGGAAGCAGCACAGGAGATCGCCAGGGGAGCATTCGGACTGAGAGGAAAGGAAAGCGTGAGATGAAGCCCCATGATCTTCAGGACTGAAAACAAGGTGGTGGTCTGCAGTTAGTGGGTGTGTGTGACACGAGCGTGCGCTCCTGTGCTGGGTCCACGCGGCATCCGCTGGGACAGCTGTGATCCCTGCTGGCGTCCTTAGTTCCCTTCAGATGATCCTGCCAGCTCCAGCTCCTTCCCCCAACCATATCCGGCTGCTTTTCTTAAGGCCCCTGGTGCCCGATAGTCTGCAGTTGGAAGATTTCTTGTCTCATGGGGGCCCTCCCAAAGAAATAAGCACTTGCTTCCATGTTTCTTCTTTTCCTCTGAGGATGTTTTATGAGCACGAGAACGGTGGTGTCATGCGGAACATGTTCCCAGGCTGGCTCCAGACTACCTCTCATCCAGACCCTTACATGGTCGGCCGAGTTACCCTGCCTGCCCTCCCTCTGAGTGGGGAGTTCTGCATTGCTCGCCTGAAAAGGCAATAAACAAAGTGCTGCTTGAAACTGCACAGCAAATACCACAGTCAGCTCCCAACCAGATAACCAATGCCCGTGGAATCGAAAATAGTGACCCAAAAGGCTGAGCCCTTGAGGAAGACCACTGAGGAGGCAGCCCTGGAGCTGGGCCCTGAGAAAGATGAATCGTAGGCATAAGGAGAGGACAGAGCATTGGGGCAGGTGACTGACTGATGAAGCAAGAGTCAGAGGCGGGGATGAAACCGTCTGGGGAGCAGGGAACATACCAATCTGGGGCCAGAGTTCCTGTGGGTAAACAGGAAGACAGTGCATCCCAGACAGCGATGCAGTGTAGCCTCTCCAGGAGCCATCCTTCCTAGGGCTTGGGGTTGGGATGGATTCAGTGCAGGAAATACAGGTAAAGCTTAGTTATCCAACAGACCCTTCCCCCCATGTAGCCAGCCAACTCAGCCTTTGTCCATTTCTGCAGAGACCGGAGGCCATCAGATGCTTCCTTTGTCCACCAAAAGTGAAGAGATTCCCAAAAGAGGGCCAGGAGGCAGCTGTAGCCTCACAAGGACCCCTATCCAGGCAGTCTTCTGAGACTTACTGGCCTGTCATCACCATAGGAAGGGGGGTTTTTAGTCTGAAATCCTTCCTGTGGTCCTGCCCTATTACTTCCCTTTCCTGGCTACCAATTCCTGCCAACAGAGGCTGCTGAACCAGCCAATCCTGAAGCTCCCACCTCCCCACCGAGGGGGAAAATGGCCCTCAACAAATGTCTTTATTCGTCAAGCCAAGTTTACTTGGGTTTAGGTTTTTTATTGCTTAGAAATGACGGTGATAATAAAAAGTAAAAAATAATGTCTGAGTAACACAGTATATTCATACATTATGAGGGCGTTTGCAAAATTATTTATATAGAAAGAAAATTGGACAGCCAAGGACTAGATTATAATAGGTGGTGTTTGCTCTGTAGCCCTTGTTTTACGGAACCATCTCTCCCCCATTTTGCAGTAACCCTGCTCAGTCTCTGCGACTGAGGGGAGGGTGCTGATCTCCCCCATCTCACTAGTTTTAGTGGTAATCACGTGACTGGGGCCTGATAAGCCACCTGGTAAGCCTGTCTTTGAATTCCCCACTATCCAGCCAGGAGCTGTGCACACAGGTGCTCACTGACCACCTCGTCACATGGACTACCCGGCAGAGTTGTGGAGGTGGAGGGGACTCCTGAGATCTGCGGACCACTCCGGACACTGGTGTGAGTATGTCTTCGCTCATTGCCTCACAGCTGAGGGCTGTCATTGTCCTCACCTGGCCGCACACATGAACATGCCTTGGAGTCTGCTGGAGTGGAAGGTGGGTTAACGTTACAGCGTCTTTTCTGCTTGTGCTTCTGGTAAAAATTAGTGAAGACCTTTATAACCATTCTTCTAGCAGCCAGCACTCCCCTTTTAGAGAGAATGAGATGTAAAACTTCATTCAGTATTCCGTGAGCACCTATTCCATGCCCTGTGCTGGGAATAAGAGGCATTCCCCCACCCAATAGTTCAGAACTTAACCTGAGCATTACTGCTCTACCCCCAGATAGTTCTCCTTAACTCCCAGTCTCTACCACCTCTTTTACCCCCATTCCTAGGAGAAACCGTTTGGCCAATAGGAGGACACCGAACTAGACAGATCTGAGGGTTCGCTACCACAGAAAAAAAGCAACTGTCTTGATTCTGTCTGGCCCTAAAACTCCTCTGACACTAGAGGGCAGTCAGGCCCCACAGATCTAAGGAGGTCTGTCCAAGTTCAGGCAGGCTGCACTCCAGCATCCCCAGACTGTTCACCCAGAGATGAAATGCTGGCACAGTAAAATAACTTCCAGAGACCTGTTGGCCTAGAAGGTCAGAGCATGGGCTTTTTTGGGATAAGAGGCGGAACAGGGTTTGCACGTTGGTCCCACCACCTGCTAACTGTTTGATGTGGGGAAGGTGTCATCTCTCAGAACTTTGATAACATTTTTGCATAAATGGGTTTTGTGAGATTATATGTAAAGCACTCAGCACAATATCTAGCCTGTGGTAAACCTTCAATAACTGTTAGCTTTGTTACCAGTTTTCTTCTAAAGAATAGCTTTCACTTAGTTCTGGACACTGCTCTTTAAGGTCCAAACATCTCTTCCTAGTCAATGAGGTGGGACACTCTTAGGAGATATCTACTATGTACCAGGCACTACAGTGGGAGCCTTACATGTGATGCCATAACAATCTGAATGAGGGAATGGTCATCCCTATTTTAGAGGTACAGAAACTGAGAATCGGAGAAGGTAGAGTAAATCACCCAGTTCACAGTTAGGAAGGGGCAGAACCTAGATTAGAACCCAGTCAGCTGGGCTTCAAAACTTGTATCCACCACAGCGGGCTGTCGCAGTTGTGTTTTCCCAGAAGCTGTTGTACCTGAGGCCAAGGCAAGTTGTAAGGCAGAAGAAGGAGGTTGCCATGGCTCTAACTGGACCCCTTTTCAAGTAATCAGATCCCAGGTCTGCTCCAGTTTTGCAAGAGGAGATGCTTGTCTGGAAACTCTCCTCAACACCTGCCCCTGGAGAGAGCTGACTGCACCTGAATTATTAAGAGAGTCCCTGGACACTTGATATAATGAGCAGGTGTGGATGCTTCTCCAACTTTCCCCTAAACATGCCTTTACTGACCCCCTACCCTCCCCCTAGTTGCCTATGAAGAAGAGGAAGCATCACCTTTTTCCCATTGTGTGTCTACCTCTGCCTTCGTTCCCCATCCCAAAAGTTACCTGTAAGAAGTGGACGATTTTTGTTGCAAATTTCAAAATCATTGTTGACATGTGTTGAAATTGATGATGTAAATAGGACCGTAACTAGTAAATGGATCAATTGTCTTTTTCTATTGATACACAGTTCCTTTTCCTCTATCCTAAGCTTAGATGATCAAACCTAGAGACTGAGTTTGTATAAATGAAGAAAAACCCACAGGTAATAAAAATATTCATACTATAGACTTCAACTACATAAAGGAAATAAAACTATGCTTAGAAAAAAGACTGGAAGGAAATGTGAATATAAAGGTGGCACTTGGCCTATAGTTTTGAGGCTCCCATAGCATTTGGAATAGCATAAAATCAGTTATTAATAAATTCAATGTTTGGGGTCATGAGTTTTCTAGGGTCTGCTCCCCACTTCTACATCCTCACGTGAGCGCTCACACACACCCCTCACCTTGACCTCTATCCATCGCTTCCTTTCTCTCACTTTCTATTCATGGGCCAGTAGTGGGATCACTGTGCAGCCTGAAATTGTCCTGGTAAAGAAGGATTGCTTCCAGGTCTGTTCCTGATCCTCTCTATCTAGTCTGTGACTCTAAGATGTTTCAGCATCCTTTGCAGTGCCCTAATTAGATTTTAATGTGAAATCAAACTGAATCCATTGAACCTTAATTAATAATATTTTAAGTATGTGTCTCTTTACAGTGAACTATTTGAAAACAGTCATGAAAAACTTTGGTTTTAAACAGTATTTATTAACATGGGGCAGAGACTTACTGCAAAATGTTGAAGAAAAAACTTGGCTTTAAACAGTGTAATTAAAATTTCCCAATTATAATATATATATATATATGTGATTAGAAGAAAGACTGGAAGAAAGTGTATCAAAATATGAGGGGATTCTTACTAAGCAGTGAGACTAACAGTTTTACTTGTCATTATACTTTTGTTTTCCAGAGTTTCTATTTTCCTACTTGAAATATTTTTAGAATATTTTTCTTGTTTTCATAGCTACTAATATTTATTCCTGTGGGAAATCAGTGATACAACGGTGAAAATAAAATTTGTGATAGCAGTCTTTTATTTTATTTTTTTAACATTTTTTATTGATTTATAATCATTTTACAATGTTGTGTCAGTGTGATAGCAGTCTTTTAAATCTACAGATACTTATTTTTCCATCCTGTCTCATCCCCCTTTGCAGTCTGTCGTTTGCAGACCATAAATTAAGGCTTGGGGCTAAATCCAGACTGGAACCTCGCCTCTGCCCTGTAGAACTAGTCAGCTCTAGGGCTCCTCCAGCCCGTGGCTCTGTCTGTCTGTCTGTCGCCGGGCTGGTCTCACCCCTGCTCACTACCCTCCCAAAGCAAGAGAACGTCAGAGGCCGTGAAGTGTTTCTGCTCCAGGTCCTGCGCTGAACTCTTGTTTTCCTTCTCTAACTCACAAATAAGGCTACATCTCTGACTCTGTGTTGCCAGATTCTGTTTCAGTGCAATTAGGCGGTAAATAATTCAAGGGAACGGAAACTGGCAAAGTGGTGTGTGATGTCCAAATAGCTATCTTGTTTACCTTCTGGTGTA